TCAAACGCCTTTTAAACCTCTCTTTCAAACTCCCTTTAAACCTCTCTTTCAACTTCTCTTGTAATCTCTCTTTCATCATTTTTCAACCTTTTTAACCTCTCTTTCAAGCTCCCTTTAAACCTCTCTTTCAACTTCTCTTGTAATCTCTCCTTCATCCTCTTTTTCAAACTCTTTTAACCTCTCTTTCAACCTCTCGTTTAATCTCTCTTTCAAACTCTTTTAACCTCTTTTTCAACCTCTTTTTACCTCTCTTTTAACCACACTTTCAAACGCCCTTTAAACTTCTCTTTCAACTTCTCTTGTAATCAATCTTTTTCAAACTCTCTTTTAATCACTTTTTCAACCTCTTTTTTAACTTTTCTCTAAGACTCATATTTTCAAAGTTTTCTACAATTTGTCGTTCAGCCTCTCTTGATCTGAATAATTTTTATGAACATTCTAAAATATTTATGCAGCTTCTTTTTTTTCTGTGTCGAGTATCATAACTACGTACATATATACTTAAATATCGACCTCTATTGCCTGATATATGTCACTGATGGGCACTTCAACACGATGTAATTGGCTAACTAGATAATTACGACTATATACTGAGTTCGATCCTCACTAGGTGCCCCATACTTGCGGCGTTGTACCACATCTAAGATATAATTAGTAAATCGCTGTATCCGTCATTTATTAACTCTTTTCCAATAGCGCCTGACCATACCTACACCAGTTACTTATTGGCGACTCTTTGTCTGTAAGTAGCTTTTTACGAAAACGCCCACAAACACAAACATTTTTTATTACATGTGTATGTTAGCACACGCACACACAAACATACGCATGCACACACGCTCACTTTGACACACACACACACACATATATGACTATATATATGTGTGTGTGAAAATGCAGTGATGTGTTCGTGTAAGTGAGAGTTTTGTACAAAGATTTTGCTCGAATTTTTTATGGCATTGAAAATGAAACATTAGATGGAATGGTTGGTCCACACATTTTTCAAGAACCGGAAGTTAGGAGTTGCCAGGATGCCATAATTCCAAAAACCACATGACAAGGAAAAGACCCATTTCCGGAAAGACATTCCGCTTCTTCGCTTAAGAAAACTAAAGAAGCCCTATTCTTTTAACAGAATGTTAATTTTAGCATACCATTAACGGAATAGATGGACCAGAATGTTTATATCCTATTTTAATCAGAATAAAGCATTATTTATATCTTCTTATGTTGGAGTTTTATTTGTAGAATATAATAAAACCAGATAAAAAAAATGCTTTAAATAAGATATTCGAATCGGAAACAATTGTGATTGTACGGTGGTTAGCAAACTGTTCTAGCAAAGCTATTTAAAGTATTTCACACGTGTTACTCCGCATAAAGTGAAATTGTTTCAGTTACTGGCACTGTCATTATAACGATTTATTTTAGCATCTGCTGAATTTATTTTTTAATGCTCTGTCCTTTTAGGAAGCAAGCGATCATGACTCTCCACATTCTTCTTCTTTTTCTTCTTCTTCTTCTTCTTCTTGCAAAGATTTACACAAGATCTTTTTTATTTGTTCTTTATTTTATTCTGACAGATTCAGATCCATGCAAGTGATTATTAGAAAATAGTGATTTCTGTTATCTTTAGTGTGTGTGTGCATTGAATACAACAGGGAAGGTACATTTATTTAGTTTTTTATACAATTTCTCATGCGATCTATTTTTTTTTTCTTTTCAGATGATAAATTATATAAAAACTCTCCGAATGTTCTTTTTATCCGAGCGCTTTCGGCTATACATTTCGCCATTTTCAAGGATTCAATTTTTAACTGTTAAATAAGAAATAGTTTGTTCTATGTATGTTTTATAAAAATATTTTCATTTTTCAAAACACAGTCAAGATATTGTGTCCATGTTCAAAGTTAATATTATTAAGTGTTTCATTATTTTTAGCCTTTTTTGCATGTGGATGATGTTATTATATCAGTATTGTCAGCAGGTTTCACACGTAGACTAACTCTACACCTTTCTGACCATAGCTCAATTAGATCTCATTTAAATATTCAGGAAGACCTACCAGACACTATTTGTAACCCACTTGTTGACAACACTAATATAATAGCATCTTTTACATGCAAAAAAGGCTAAAAAATAATGGAAGCTTTATTAATAAAAAAACAAAAAAACAAAAAACAACACTTAATAATATTAACATTGAACATGGACACAATATCTTGACCATGTATTGGTTAATCATGTTTCACGTGCATTCGATTTGTTATCTCATTCTCTGAAGAAGCGTTAATAAAAGTGAAACATGCTAGATTGATAAATGTTTCCTATTTGTTCCTTATCTTATCATTAATTTTTTATATGTATTTGATCGCAATCCAATCAATGTCCTGTAAGTGTCAGATTCTCCACAGTATATAATGAAGGCAATGCGGAGAGTCGATAGTCAGCCTTCAATATATTTTTCTTTATTATCTGTGAATTGAATTACATTCTTAGGAAATATAATGACCCGTGTTCCAGCTGTCTTCTCCACAGTTTGCAATTATTATCTTTCTTTTAGACTGGTTGCCAACAAAAACTAGAAAGCATAATTTACGCTACCATTTAATCTAAAGATATGGATTTATCTCTTTCCTTAGACGAGCCCGGAATTTGAAATCGACTCGACAGTTTCACTTTCCGCGTTTACCCATACATCTGCTGATAGTAGAAAGTAATCTTTAGCTAAAGAAAAATAAACACAGAAATGGTTGCTTATTTATTAATATTTACTTATATAATGATTTTAAAAAAATAGAATGTAAAGGGACATGTGTTTATTTTATATCAATTATTTTACGAAAATTAAAGGTTCTCTAAATTAATTTAAATTTTTTTAAGCAAGCACGCATACGCACTTGTGCCATGATTTTGATCAAGTTGGTTAACTATTGAATCAAGCCGGTTGCTTAATTAAGAATTGAAAGCCTGAATGTTGTTACTGCTGACACTAAGAAAATATTTATATATCCTTCAATATTGTAATTTGGTTAACGCTTAATAGTATCAGTACCTAAAGGTAAGCTTATTGCATCAGTTTTACAGGTAATGACATGTAGAGAATTATTTAACATATTTATTTTGGGTAACATTTATTCGTGTTCAGCCGAGAATAACACGTAATATAAATCCCTTTCTTTCCTTCTTTCTTTCTTTCTTTCTTTCTTTCTTTCTACGTTTTATATTTTCCTTCTCTCCTGTCTAGTCAACTGATATTTCGCTTTTTCTCGTCTTTCTTTCTTTCTTTCTTTCTTTCTTTCTTTCTTTCTTTCTTTCCTTCTTTCTTTCTTTCTTTCTTTCTTTCTACGTTTTATATTTTCCTTCTCTCGTGTCTAGTCAACTGATGTTTCGCTTTTTCTCGTCTTTCTTTCTTTCTTTCTTTCTTTCTTTCTTTCTTTCCTTCTTTCTTTCTTTCTTTTTCTTTCTTTCTACGTTTTATATTTTCCTTCTCTCCTGTCTAGTCAACTGATATTTCGCTTTTTCTCGTCTTTCTTTCTTTCTTTCTTTCTTTCTTTCTTTCTTTCTTTCTTTCTTTCTTTCTTTCTTTCCTTCTTTCTTTCTTTCTTTCTTTCTACGTTTTATATTTTCCTTCTCTCCTGTCTAGTCAACTGATATTTCGCTTTTTCTCGTCTTTCTTTCTTTCTTTCTTTCTTTCTTTCTTTCTTTCTTTCTTTCTTTCTTTTCCTTCTTTCTTTCTTTCTTTCTTTCTACGTTTTATATTTTCCTTCTCTCGTGTCTAGTCAACTGATGTTTCGCTTTTTCTCGTCTTTCTTTCTTTCCTTCTTTCTTTCTTTCTTTATTTATTTATTTATTTATTTATTTATTTCTTTGGTTTAGTCTTCTTTCTTGTCTCTTTAGTTTTTATTTTGTTTCATATAGTCTTGAATTGCTTACTTCTCTTTCTTTCTTTCATTCTTTCTTTCTTTCTTTCTTTCTTTCTTTCTTTCTTTCCTTCTTTCTTTCTTTCTTTCTTTCTTTCTTTCTTTCTACGTTTTATATTTTCCTTCTCTCCTGTCTAGTCAACTGATGTTTCGCTTTTTCTCGTCTTTCTTTCTTTCCTTCTATCTTTCTTTCTTTCTTTCTTTCTTTCTTTCTTTATTTATTTATTTATTTATTTCTTTGGTTTAGTCTTCTTTCTTGTCTCTTTAGTTTTTATTTTCTTTCATATAGTCTTGAATTGCTTACTTCTCTTTCTTTCTTTCTTTCTTTCTTTCTTTCTTTCTTTCTTTCTTTCTTTCTTTCTTTCTTTTTTCTACGTTTTATATTTTCCTTCTCTCCTGTCTAGTCAACTGATGTTTCGCTTTTTCTCGTCTTTCTTTCCTTCCTTCTTTTTCTTTCTTTCTTTCTTTCTTTCTTTCTTTCTTTCTTTCTTTCTTTCTTTCTTTCTTCGGTTTAGTCTTCTTTCTTGTCTCTTTAGTTTTTATTTTCTTTCATATAGTCTTGAATTGCTTACTTCTCTTTCTTTCTTTCTTTCTTTCTTTCTTTCTTTCTTTCTTTCTTTCTTTCTTTCTTTCTACGTTTTATATTTTCCTTCTCTCCTGTCTAGTCAAATGATCTTTCGCTTTTCTCGTCTTTCTTTCTTTTTCTTTCTTTCTTTCTTTCTTTTCTTTCTTTCTTTCTTTGGTTTAGTCTTCTTTCTTGTCGCTTTAGTTTTTATTTTCTTTCATATAGTCTTGAATTGCTTACTTCTCATTTTCTTTTATTTCTTTTTTGCTTTTTCTTTCTTATTTTCTTTCACATCAATATACTTCCCTTCATGTGTTTCTTTCTTTGTTAATTTATTTATTTTATTTTCTTATATCCCTTCTGAATTTTTCCTTCAATTGTTTACATTCATTGTTTTCTTTTATCTTCGTTTTCTTTTCTTTTAGTATTTTCTTTCTCTTTTTGCTTTTTTCCTTTTTTTTTTTTGCCTTCTTTCTATCTTTCTTTCTTTTTTCTTTCTTTCTTGTTTATAA